TCATCAGCTTTTTTTATTAGTTTGTTTATATTTCTCTGTAATTTATTTTCCATTTCTTGAATAGATTTGTCTGAACAAAAAATTGACAGATCGTCGACATAGAGACATTTACCAAGTGATGCATCTATCACTGATACCAAACTATTTATTGCTACTGAGAATAGTGTTACGCTCAAAGTGGATCCTTGAGGGATTCCATTTTCCTGTACGTGATGTTCTGAGGTAATATTTCCTATTCGCACTTCGAAGTTACGATTTTTCAAGAAGTTCTGAATGAATATGGGTAGGTTACCTCTCAAGCCCCAGTTATGAAGCGTTCTCAGTATACCATATCTCCAAGTAGTGTCGTAAGCTTTTTCAATATCAAAAAATACTGCTGTCAAGTGATTTCTTTCAGCGAAGCTATTCAAGATGGCATTCTCCAGGTATATTATTTGGTCTACAGTTGATCTATTTTTGCGGAAACCTGATTGACAATCCGACAACAAATTATTGGATTCCATGTGCCATGTGAGACGATTGCTGACCATTTTTTCCATTATTTTACTCAAACAGCAGGTGAGTGATATAGGGCGGTAGTTTGTTGGAAATTTAGGGTCTTTGCCATCTTTAGGTATGGGTATAATGGTAGCGTCGCGCCATTTGCTAGGGTAAGTACCATCTTCCCATATTTTGTTCATTATCATGAGTAAATTTTCTTTTTGGTTTTCAGGTAAGTTATATATGAAATCATATGGGATTTCATCAGGACCTGGTGCAGATTTCTTAGAAGTGCTTAGTACTTCGTCTAATTCATGTCGAGAGAAAGGCACATTATATGAAGTAGGTGTAAGAGAGTTGAAATTCAATGGTATTTCAGACACACGTTTGATTTCAGTGAACGTAGGCGAGTAATTTTCTGAAGAGCTGGCTTGTTCGAAATATTTGGCAAGATGTTCGGCAATCTCTAACTGATCTGTAATCAATTGATCGTCAACAGATATAACTGGTGAGGGTGATGCAAATTTTCTTCCTCTGATGCATCTGATTTTTTGCCATACTTCTGTTGTCGGAGTGTCAGTGGTAATGGATGAGACGTAATTTTGCCAGGATTGTCTTTTACTGCTTACTATAATATTCCTTGCTCTTGCTCGAAGGCGTTTGAATTGGATCATGTTCTCTTGAGTAGGTGATCTTCTGAAAATATTGAAAGCATGTTTTTTTTCTGAAATCACACGAGCTACTTCTTCATTCCACCAAGGAACGTTTTTATTTCTCCGAGTTCGACCTGTTTGCGGGACTGTTTGCTTTGCCGCAGACAGGATAGTATTGGAGAAGGCTTCTATTGTATCATCAATGGTTCCGTCAGGAGGTCGGAAAGTAGACAGGATTTCTCGATATCGAGTCCAATTTGCTCGTTCTAAGCGCCATCGTCTAGGAACTTCCTGATTCATGAGACGGTCTGCACATTCGATGGTGATCGGAAAATGATCTGTACTATTATGATGGTTGAGACAACTCCATAAAAGGTCTGCTGCCATTTCAGCTGAACATATCGTCAAGTCAATTGCTGAAATGTTGTTCGATCTAGAATTTAAGTAGGTTCCATCTCCATTGTTCATGATCACCAGATTCATATCATCCACGAACTGTTCTACAACCCTTCCACGGGCATCCAGTCTACTAGATCCCCATAGTTGGTTGTGTGCATTAAAGTCCCCTAGAAGTATGTATGGTGTTGGAAGTTGTTCGACAAGTTCCACCAAATTGTTGAGGTTCCAGTTATATTCAGGTAAATATATATTACAGATGGTCATTTTATATGGAAAGTCCAGTTGTACAGCTACAGCTTGGATATCAGTTCGTAATACAACATGATTAACAGGAATGTTGTCTTTAACGAATGTTACTACACCACCGTGAGCACGTAGATTTGGCTCCACGTCCTTTCTATATGAATTATACCCTCGTAAGTTGAAGGGTTCTCCAGGCTTGAAATGAGATTCTTGAAGACATATGCAGAAAGGAGATTTTTCTGCTAAAATCATTTTTAGTTCGCCATAATGTGTCTTACATCCATTACAGTTCCATTGTATTATGTTCTCTAAATTAGCCATTGGTAAAGATTATTATAGGATTATCAGGATTATTAAGGATATGGAATAGATTTATCACAGATTTATCACAGGTTTATCACAGATTTATCACAGATTCAACGTAGATTTATCACAGATTTATCACGAGTTAATCACAAAAATTATCACAGATCTATCACAGGTTCAATCGCAGCTTCTTTTGATTGGCCCTTGGGTTTTTCGCCAATATCTGACTGAGATTGCTGAGATTTCAGTGCGGGCTCTTTAGTATTTTGGGAGAGAGGTTTTCGTTTTCTACCCTTCTCCCAGCCAGGTTTTCTCTTACTTTTGCCTTTGACTGATATATCACTTTGACTTTCGTCAGATTCAATTGAGTCTTCTAGACAATAATTAGGAACAGAAGTCCTTTTTCGCTTCTCAGATAGACTAGGTTGCGTTGAGACGTCTGATAGTATCAGATTTGTCTCCGACGAGAAATCTGTAGGTTTAAGGAAGGTTGGTTCGTTCGAAGTTGTTTGCTTTGTGTTATTTGTGTTATTCGAGTCTATTATAGTCTTGACTAAGTTCGTTATGAGGGGTGTAAGATCAGTGATCACTTTCTTGAGGTCGTTTTGTTTCGAAATTGCTGCTTGTGTTGCCTGTGAGTAGGAAACTCCAGTGGTTGGAGTTAGTGGTATAACTTTTCGTTTGGCTTCAATGTATGATATTTTTTCTGTTATCTTGATTTTCTGAATAGCCATTTCTGTTTTATACTTACTGCATATTTTAGATTTCGCAGAGTGTGATCCATTGCAATTAACACAAACAATAGGTCGTTCACAAGGTGTCCCTTCATGAAGTGATTTACCACATATACATACTTGATCTCCTTTGCATCTTAGCGCCGTGTGTCCAAATTGTTGGCATCTGAAACATCTCATAGGAGCAGGAATATAAGGTCTGATTTTCAAATGGTAAAAAGCTGCTACAACACTTGCAGGAAGGTTGGGAGTGTTGAAAGTGAGGATGAGATTTGGTGTATCAATCAATGTTCCGTTCAATTTAGTCATCATTCTTTTTACTTCCACAACACCTTGGTCTTTGAGTTCATCTAGAATCTCATCAGTCGTGCAGTTCAGTAAATCTTTGCATGTAACAACACCTTTGGACGAGTTCAGAGTTCCATGAGGAGATACTTCAACATCAAAGTCTGAAAAACGTTTAACTTCCAATAATCTCTTAGCTTGAGAGTTCGAAGATGTTTCCACTAGTAATCCATCTTTAACCTTCCTGATATTTTTCGTACTTCCAATTAAACCATACATGACTTTCGAAATAACAAATGGGTTGACTTTTGAGAAGTCCCCATCAATTTTCTTGATGAGTAGGAACCGGGGAATTCGTTCCACCGTCTCGTTACTCATTATGTTTGGGGTTTTTGAGTGAGATTGAATCATTTGAAGTCCCACGAGTAATGATGAAAACATGGTCGAATATGGCAGAGCATCATACCATATCAAGGCTATATACATCCGGAGGTCGCCTGGTATCCGGAGGACATCGTTAGCAACTCAGTCACGGTGAGCCATTCATCCCCTCGACACGATGGGTTTCCGCCTTGGGATTCCGAGCTCAGGTACCCCGGGGTCGCTATGCCCGTACTTGGAACCAGTGAGGAATCCAAGCCCCTGGGGGCTATTATTATTATTATTATTATTATTATTATTATTATTATTATTATTATTATTATTATTATTATTATTATTATTATTATTATTATTATTATTATTATTATTATGAACACGTTCAAATGAAATTGGCAAAGTTACAAATAACTTTTGAAACCTCACACTTTTCAATTATGAAATCATAAATTAAAATCCTCACAAAAAAATCCCGTCTTGGAAGGGTTACCTTGCCTTACTTTTATATCCCACTTTTCGAACATCATTAAAATCGGTATACCTACTTGAGAAGGAAATATAATGGGCAATAACATGCATATTTTCCGAAAATGGAGCCTTAACTGACCTTTACACAGGTAAATTCAATCCTAGGTTCGTAAAGTAGGATATAGGAAGATATAGAAGTTAGGCAAGTCTAGAGTCACTGGATGGTATTAGTTTGATAAGAGTTCGGACACAGCTGAACTTTTGTCCTTTTCTATTTTCTATAATACAATGGTTTAGGTGAATAAAAGAATAAGACATATATTCGGCTCTTTGTCTTTTCAATTTCCCTAGTAGTGCCTGATTGTCAGATACGATTTTAGAGGTTATATTTTCTGTCAAATCAATCATAGCCGTAGATGGACAATGGGTATAGGGTACAAACACCCAATTCAATTTATAGTATATACACTTCTAACAGAACAACTGTTATATAAATGACAAGAATGCATGTAACAACATTTTAATATTAGAAAATATACACATATGGATGAACTTTTATAGCTATAATTCCTTATTATATGTGAAACTAATAACATCCAGTGACTCTAGGCAAGTCAATGTAAGTTTAGTTTATAGTACGAGTACTTCATTTGAAGAAGCTGATGTGTTAGTGAATCATGTCGTTTTATTGAATTTTAACGTTTGTGAAATTGTTTACGTCAATCCATATTTAATGGAAGATATTCCAACACATTCTTATTATGATAGAAAATAAATATACTTTCAATGAAAACACATTCTCTTTCTTTTACTTCGGTTTGAGCTTCAAATATTTTCTTGATCATGATCATTCATTTATTGTATCACGGGATAATTATTGCTATCAATAATAATTCTCCATCCGTTGTTAAAGTATCATAAAATTTCAATAAATTCGTGACCACACTGATAAAAAACAACAGATGTTTTAAGTGTTTTAATGTCATGGAATTCCGAGATCTCAACAAGTAGTTGGAATGTTGATGTATCAAAACATTCGTGTACCATGATAGAATACCAAAATGATTGCTATTCATCTTTAGTAGTTCAGTGTATATTCTCTAAGTTTCTTCGAATCTGCATTGGGTAATTTGTGGTGTTAGGAATGAGCAACAAAAATGATGTAAGTTACTTTATACATTTTAGTTATTTTTTCGGAAATAATTGCAGTGAGACAAGTGAGTGAGTCTTCAACATGAATCGGTGCTATCGAAACATCATACATTAACCATTATCTATCTCAGAGTGATACAGTCATAATAAGCTTTTTACATTTTTGTTTTTGATTCATTCTATATACGAGATTTTACAATTTGTCCATATTGTATATTATTCATTATATTCAAAAATTTGAAACATCCTGTAACAGCTCCTGTCTGTTATATTAATATGATTGTTCTGTTTATATGCATCGTGCAACATCATGTTTAACTTGAAATATATCGAAATATGAAGATGAAGTACTTGGAGAATTGTAAAATTGTGATGAAATGGCAATTTCGCCAGTGGCGTAGAATTTGGGAAGGAACATCCAGTCACTTGCCCTTGTCTTTCGCCTCTGGTAGTAGCCAAAAATTCAGTAGGTAGGCCGTAGTGGCCGAATAGTATCTATACTTTCCGCAAAATATAACAATAAGGCGTCAATCAGTTCAAAGTACTTACTGAGCACAAAAAATACAGTGTGCTTCAAGATTTTGAACTCTGATCACCCTGTATCTTTCCCAATTAAATGTCAGTAGATAGTGAATCGAAAGTTAAAATACGAACATGTTAGCCGTTTTGATCGATAATGAATAGTTTCGATACACAAAAAAATCCTAACATCGAAAGATCTCGATTTGAACACCCTATATCTCTGTAATCATTCCTGCTAGACCCCAAGTGTGATACATCGATGGAATCAGCTCTTCAGGAGAAATCTGAAAATGCAATAAAATACAGGGTGTTCTATATGAAATAACAAAGTTGCTAGTTGTTTCTGATAAAAGTGGCAACACTGTATCGATGAAATTATTTGAGAGGGATTGAGATTGTTCAATTATCAGAGCATCTCAATATTCAGAATGTTCTGTTCATTCGTTCTCTAGATACTTCTAATGGGCCATCCACCGTGGATCACCCTGAATAATACACCATTTTTTGTTATTCGCAATCTCACGTAAATCAACCTGTGTATAAGGGTGTTATTTTCGTATTATTTTCCACCGATCTCGTGAACTTGTGGTATATCGAATGTCATCATGTTGAAGTTGAGAACTGTATTTCTGATTAGAGTGCCAATACGGCTGCCGCCTGTAGTAAATTGCATTTCTATATTCATGAAGTTTCGCAACACCATGTAATTACCATCCTGGTTTGAATAAATCATCTTCGATGTTACCATGCGGATTCTCGATTGGAAGGAAATTGCCTTTTAAATGGTCGCCCATCATCGTTTTAGGACCAATCTACGGGATTTATAGATTATCGTGAGTGGAATTGGGTCGGGCACTCACAAGACTATAGGGCATCAGATGCTTATTTCATGAATATTCCAGCAAACAATGAACTGCCGGGAGAAGTTCGTCTTAGTGCAGGCTAGTCTGGGTAATTGATCATACCGGGGTATTATATATACAGGGTGTTTTAGACTCAAATGTACAGTGATGCCCACTAAATAGGTAACGACTCTTGAGCGAATCGAAATATTTTTGTCTAAGCACATGTACTACTGTCTCCCTCATTAGCATTTTATGATCTGCTTCGCACTGTGAAGGTATTATATCAGGGTATACCCAGCGGTATATACCCAGAGGTGTAATAATTATTATTCGAACGTGAAAAATAACAATGACATAGTTCTTCTATGGCAACAACAATGAAATAAATAGGAATTGATCTGGACTGCTTTACAATGATTCAGTTCCGATGAGATGAACGATATAATATAATTATAACTAGAATCCAATCTTGGAGTAAAGGGATTTACTATTTCGTCCTTCAAACCAGAAATGATAGTACTAAGAATGTGTAAATTTCAACAATCTTCAATTCATTAATTCGTCATACAAACCATCGAAACTTCAATTCGATAATATTTCATATGAAAATATAGAATGACGGACCTGATGGTATGAACGAATAAGTCAATAATATGGATATACGAACGTTATACGAAATATTCCGACAATCGATCTGAAGTATTTGAAAGAATATAGGTATGTATGAATATACCAACATTCTCAGAACAAACATTACAAAACAATGCCATGATTTATTGAATATAATATATGTATATATAATAATATATGACAACAAACTAACTAAACTGAAATAAATTTGAAACTATACAGCGTGTAATTTAGTTTATGGCTGAAAATAACGGATATGGTTCCTCAGCTCATTTTAAGAAAAAAAGTTGATATGAACATATGCCCTAAACCTCTCAACATCCGAGCTATAGGGTGTTGGAATTTTCAAGAAAGATTAACTTCAATATACTGAACAAGAACTAGTTTCAGGGCATATGTTCATATCAACTTTTCTTCACAAAATGAGGTAAGGAATCATATCCTATATTTTTAACTATCAATTGAATTACACCCTGTATAACCAGGAGAAAACGATCAATGAAATTGTGATAAAATTATGAATATATAGTACTGAATTATATAATATAGGTATATTCAGGTAGTCCATTCATTTTCAAAATTATGAGTTGAAAAAATCTCTGAAAATTTTGGGTAAATCCGAGGATTAATCTGGCATAGCGCACTTCCAAATACGGGAGGTAAATAGAATTCCCTTATTTCTAATAGAGCACCACGTTTTTCTACATTTTTGATTCTATATATTACTCTGATATGAACCATAAAATATATCAGGTGATTTATTATACCAATTTCAACTTTTTCGGAGTAATTACGACTTTCGAGAATATTTTCAAAAATGATTTTCTCTATACCTAACTGAAACACTGAAAATCATGATTTCTCAATAGAGAGAACTGGTTCACATAATGCACTTTGGAGTGGAAATATGAATTCCATAAACAGGGATATCTACAGTGTGATTATTATCACCATGTAAAATAGATTTTTTCTGTGACAGGAAAAAAGTTTGGCATTTCATCTCTGTTGGCAGGTTATAAAATGTCACTTTTCATGAATTACTTTTTTCCCGTGGGAAAAAAGTGAGTACTCTTTTCCCGGATATATATCACATATATATACTCTGTTAATGGCTTTTGTTGTGCTATAGTTCCGAAAAATGAGTCAATAATACCGTCTTCGAGAAAGAACTGCAAGTCCTTTTATTCCATTCGACTTCGCGGTTTCGTATATTACTAAACAACTACTGAATTCGCAATTTTTTAAAATCAAATCACAGAATTGAACTGACAGAAGTGACATCAGATATTTGATTACTTCGAAAGAATGATAAAGATGTCTATAAAACGCAGGTGTCCCTACTGTTAAAAACTTGAAATTTCACGTCGATAATTTTCAGATTTCAAAATAATGTAATATCTTCTCAATATTGATTCGTCCTTCCTTCTGTCACAAAAAAAAATAGTGCATTATACAAGGGAAAAATATTAGATTTTAGCTCACGGACACAACCTGGAGCTGAAATCTACTACTTTTTTCCCTTGTATAATAAATAACTATTAAAAACCAAAATTATATTTTATACTGTTGAATCTATCAGCACAAAGAAATATCGATCAGCTATAAAGAAGAATTATCGAAAACACAGTCAAAAATACACATCAAACATTTTGGTATTATGTTATGTTCGGTGACCGCGTGCATAAGTATAGGGTGTCTGAAAATACGGATTACTAATTTTTTTCATACTTGATCAGAAAATATAGTAGGTACTGTGGTATTTTTGAGAAGAACTGATGTCGAATTAATATTGAGGACTTCAAACATATTGGTCTTGATTATTATCATTCAAATATACATAAATGTGAAGATAAAAAACGTTTTATGATGATGAAAATCAGTACAGGTATGTTCCGAGTGATCTTGAATGAGACTCCGTCATTTCTTTCTAGGAAAAGAACTATCATGATAAAAAATATTGCCTACTTATTCTTTTTTCTCAGACACATTGGATATTCGAATTATAAAAATCGGTACAGATATGTTTGAAGTAGGTCCTCAATAATAATTTGTCATTACCCAATTATGCCATAGTATACCTAATCTTCTGATCGAGTATTAAAAAATAATAATAAATCGTTCTTTGGAACACCCTATGTTTTTTGATGATGAAAATTGGTATAGGTATGTTTTGAAATACCCTGATGCAAAATCCATCGGTATTCTTAGTGAAAAAATCCCTCATTGTATTTTTTGAAGTATGGTTGAATAAAATTGTTCACAGTTAGCCATGGAAATAGTTCAAGAATAAAATCATTTTTCTTGTTGGATGAGAATTCCAAATACGTATCCAATAAAAACAATGTTTTCAGAATCGATCATATAATAACGATTTTACAGGGGTGGTACGCTATTACAGTGGACACACTGTATATGATCAATTGATCGGAATGAATCTCTATCTGGCAATGAAATTTCAATCAAAATGTTCAAATGTCACTGTTGAAAATAATACATTTCTAAAAATATTAATGCTGAATGCTTCAAAATATGAATTAAAGAATGTTATCACGGTTTATATCATAGAATAATAAAAATGAATCGAAATTATGAAGAAATTTGTGATGGTCCATTATAAATAAGGAAGTTCTACTCACTCCCGGTTCAATCGAGTGCTACGCCACTGTCGAATACTGTCAGTATTTAGTATAGGAACCATTTGCATATATAACTTTTCTCAATTGATTTGGCATAGATTGAATCACATTTGCTGTCAAATCGTCAGGAAGTTCGTCCCAAACTCTCCTTATATTAGACCAACCATTATTCAATTTGGTTAAAATACTCGATTTTTGGTAATCACTCAAATGATGAGATATTTCAAACAACAATAGCAAAGTTTGAAATTATAAAAATATCACGAATTCACAAATATCTCATCAGAACGAAATAGGCTAATGAATGATATGAAAATCGAATCATAATTCTTAAATCCTGTCCTTCAAAGGGTGAATTATATGTAAACCAATGAAATTTGAATAAACCACAAATCTCTATGAATTAGAGTCGAGCCTCTAAAGGCATTGGTCTACAAGTTTATGTTAATTTACAGGAAGTATCAAGCGACAGACCGACAAGTATTATTTTTTCACTCTATAGGTAGACAAGTTACGTTGTAGATTGATGATTATTAATTGTTTTGTGATATTAGTATACATATTTCTTTGGAGGAAAACTGAGAACTAAGAATATTGAATACCTACGTCTCTGAATTTTCAGATCTTATGAATCACTAAATCACGAATTCAAGTATTATGTCTATAATACTAGATCTCGGAAACTACGAATATCAAATATAGAAGAAGAGTTATAGTATTTAAACAAACACTATTTATATAGAACGAATATAGGTTCGAACGTTTCAAGAGATGAATAAATATGTTTCGTTACTAATTTTCATTTTTACCAGTTCTACGACAGCATACTACTCACGTTTGATATTTTAATTAACATTGATTGAAATAAATATAAGTATAAACACATACTTCTCGAAAAACGTTTCTAATGAGATTTCCTGATTTTTGCTAGAATTTACAAACCTAATTAAAGTGTGTGAGGTTGAAAACCGCAAAACCATCGAATTTTTCGGAGCGATGACCACTCAGAAAATAGAATATGTATGGTAGGTTTAGAGACGAATGAAAATGGCTATATTTGTCAGTGCTATACTATTCCAAATGTTTCCTCACTGAACTGGTATTGAAATAGTCGAAATATCAATTTACAATTATTGTTCATAATTCCGAAACTATAAACTTTTGTTATATAAAAAAAATCTAACAAACTTAGAATCGTAGAATCTGAGAATGCAATAATATTCAAGGTATCCCATTAAAAAAAGAAGAATTTATTTGTCGCTGCGCGTTTTTGAGACACTCGAAATAAATGAAAATTAGAATTCCTGGAAGTAGATAATCGCGTTTCAAGTTAATAGGGTGTATAGGTACCGTTTTCTCTTCGCAAAGCCATCAAATTCAGAGAAAAATGTATATTAAGAACGATCAAGAAATATGATTTCGAGGAAAAATAATTGAAGGATACACTAAAGACAAACTCTAATTTGAAAAAGAAATTATACCGATACCGCTTTATATTCAACAAGTTCTTTATCTATTTCATATCAACTAGAATCGAACAATGAATATCGATGATGATGCTGGTCAGTTTTTTTTTAGTCAGCTTCATTAGATGAAGTAGAAAATATTACTCTGGCGATGTGAATATTAGCCCGAAATCTTAGAAATATTCAGAGATACACCTGACAATCTCGTACCACAAACCACAATAAGAAATAAGTTATTGAAACAGCGGGCGGCTTTAATAGATATTAGTCCGGGTGCATACACCGAATTTTTAAAGGGATTTTCACAAGAGTCGTTACTTATATATTGGGCATCACTGTACATACGATCCTTGTAGATAAAGTGTAACAGTCTATATTCTGCGACCCTTACTTTGACGCTCTGTTCAGGACAGGAGACTACTCTGGTATTTGACAGGGGGGGGGGGATTCTCGAGCGCCAGAGGTAGTAGTTTTTGAGGTAGTTTACTCTACCTGCTCTGCACAAAATATTTTTTGTACAGAGGCCCAAAGTAGCAACAGTGGAGAAAGGTACAGGAGGTATACCTACCTCGGTACCTACAGTATACTTACGAAATCGTGGCGTCAGTTTTTACTTGCCGCAAAATTTCTAGCCGTTTGGAGTAGTTTGGACATTACCGGTACATTATTGATGATTCTAGGACCGAAAATTTTAAAAAAAATGAAATTGAGAGGAATTTGAGTGATTATTTTATTTAAAAAATAAAAAAGAATAAGTCCACTCGCCTATTCCAGGGTTTGATAATCTGCATGTTAATAGCTTCATCTTCCACTTTGGAAATAACTGATGAAAGCGCGATAGGCCTATGGTTGGTGAACAGATTTTTTCATCCTCTCTTTGGAGATTGGTTAGACTCTAGCTATTTTTCAGCACGATGAAAAGACACCCGACATGTACGGAATGGTAAATAACTTGCAGAGAATCGGGGTCGATTGTGGTGTCGAGATCAAGCAGAATGCGTCTGATAGTACTTTGGCGGAAGATATGATTTCTCTGAATATCTGGGGGAACTCTTTCCTGGGAATCTAAAGAGAAGTTTGCTGCGAACATTTTTGCATTATAGGCTTCTTTAGTTATGTAAAATGAAGAAACTGTAGGCAAATGAATGAGGATTTTGAGTTTTATGTTTTTTGTTATTTCAGTACCAATGAGGATGCGTGATGGAGGAGAGTTATTTCTGGAAGACGCTTATCGTGGCTCTTTTGTTCATTGTCATTCTAACAGAAGGAAGCGCGATCGTGAAAAAGGTGAGTTATACATTATAGCCTTTTCTCTTTTCTATATAATTCAGTATTGATTCAGTATGAATATTCGTTCAGAATATAGAATTTTTTTATCAACCACAGAGCAGTTAACCCATCAACAATCAGTGGCGTACCTACGGGGGGGATAAGGGGGATATATCCCCCCCCCATGGCCCCTATATCGATAGAAAAACATCAGTTAGGAACTTATAAAGTGAGAATAAGATGGGTTGATCTCTGGTGGGATCATTACATTCCACTTGGCCATAAATGATCAGAAATATTCTTATTCTTTCAGTTTCGTTATTCAAATAATTAGATACTGATCTGTGTAGCCAAATTGGTCAATTACGAATATGCCACAGAAATACGTCAACATTTCTGGGAATAGTGCAAGCATGTTTTTTCAGTGTAGGTCGAATGTTCTTTCGCTGGGATTTTCGGTCTTCGGCTGTGATTCCCCGATATTATTCAGTCAGTTGCAGTTCGTTCATTCTAGGTCTAGGGTAATGAGTTGTACATACGTTCGATAACAAGTAATAAGAGGTGCAGTTGTTTGAGTGTTCAATGTTTACCTACCTTTAGTGTATAATTAGATAATGATGAAACAAAGTGATTTATCTAGATTTTTCAAAAGAAAATTCAACGATGATGATGATGATAGGGTGGCTTCTACATCAGCAACTGGAACTGATGGAAGTGATTTGTCGTTACAGTTGGAATTGAATGAAAATTCCGCTTCTATTCCTCCCAATAAACATTTTCGATCTCTGGAACAAATCGATCCAGGAGATATTGGAAATTGTTAACACGGTGCAGTTCGTGATAAAATAAAAACAATCCAAACACTTTGGACTCCGCCACCATCATATAAGATTCCTGGCCTGTTTGGAGATTTGTAGTCAATATGCCTACCCAAATGTGCATAAACTTCTAAAAATATTCTGTACATATTGCCAGTGTCCACTGCGACACCAGAAAAAAACTTCTCTACTTTGAAACCCATCAAAACCTATTTGAGGAATACTATCGCCCAAGTGAGGCTTAATGGACTTGCCATGCTATCAATTCATAGAAAGGCGCTTGGATTAAATTTTTTAGTGTTCAAAATTATTGTAGTTACCAATAATCTTGAATAAAAATATGTTTTGAAAAAAAAAGTATATCCCCCCCCAAGGTACACTTCTGGGTACGCCACTATCAACAATGTCAGAGCAACCTACGATATGAATAACACACTCTCCCATAGTGGAAAGTAGCGTCTGGGGAGTATACCTACTTGCCATACATTTTAGAATGAAACGTTGATTCTTTACTGGAACAGATATGCTTAAGGAAACTGACATCTTCTTGAATCTTCCCAGACATCATCTCACAAAATTCGATTCTGCGGTCATGATCGTATTCTGTAAGTTGCTGATGAATTTGAATTTTATATGGGGAGAATTTATTCAGTTCCAGCACTTCATGCATGGAACCAACCGAAATATTTTGTAGTTGGATTGTTCTTTTATTGCAAATTAATCCCGTTTCATCAAATTTTCTCACTAGATCCACGATGGATTGGTGACTAGTATTCTTGTCCTGATGTCTTTCATTAAAAACTCCAGACGTTCTTCTAGCACAGCGATTTTCAGCTCCATAAATAAATATAATTCCTATTCTTTCTTGTAATGAATAAACCATTTTGAAGTATCTGTTGGTACAAGATATCGGTACAAATAACAATTGAACATTATCTTACTGCCGAATATTTACAAATTTATTTGCTTGAAATTTGACCGGTGTGAAAATAGAAACGGTCGCCGTATCGGAAACGAAATGATAGTATATGCGCACAGGTGTAAAATGTTATCACATCGATTCTTCCGTTTTAACATTCAGATATCGACTGAAACCATTGCGATCCAAATGTTTTGCGTCAATATGATGAATATCTTCAGAACTAATCAAAACCAAATTAACTCATTGTTTTCGAAAATTTATATTCGACAGGACATTCAAAATGAATGAGAGAAACATACCAACCCTGTTTCAGACTTTGTATCTCAAAACTCACCCTGGAAACCACCCCCGAATAGATGAAAATTACGTAAAATTATGTGAAATAATCGTTTCTGAGAATTTCTTTCTCACAATATCATCAGAACGAACAGAGAAAACATACCTACCCTGTTTCAGAATTTGTATCTCAAAACTCACCCTGGAAACCACCCCCGAATAGAAGGAAATTACGTAAAATTATGTGAAATAATCGTTTCTGAAAATTTCTTTCTCACAATATTATCAGAACGAACAGAGAAAACATACCTATCCTGTTTCAGAATTTGTATCTCAAAACTCACCCTGGAAACCACCCCCGAATAGATGAAAATTACGTAAAATTATGTGCAATGATCGTTTCTGAAAATTTTTTTCTCACAATATCATCAGAACGAACAGAGTAAACATACCTACCCTGTTTCAGAATTTGTATTTCAAAACTCACCCTGAAAACCACCCCCGAATAGATGGAAATTACGTGAAATTAAGTGAAATAATCGTTTCTGGAAATTTCTTTCTGACAATATATTCAAAACGAAGAGAGAAAACATACCTACCCTGTTTCAGAATTTGTATCTCAAAACTCACCCTGGAAACCACCCCCGAATAGATGAAAATTACGTAAAATTATGTGAAATAATCGTTTCTGAAAATTTCTTTTTCACAATATCATCAGAACGAACAGAGAAAACATACCTACCCTGTTTCAGAATTTGTATCTCAAAACTCACCCTGAAAACCACCCCCGAATAGATGGAAATTACGTGAAATTAAGTGAAATAATCGTTTCTGGAAATTTCTGTCTGACAATATATCCAAAACGAAGAGACAAAACATACCTACCCTGTATCATAATTTGTATCTCAAAACTCACCCTGGAAACCACCCCCAAATAGATGAAAATTACGTAAAATTATGTGAAATAATCGTTTCTGAAAATTTCTTTCTCACAATATCATCAGAACGAACATAGAAAACATACCTATCCTGTTTTAGAATTTGTATCTCAAAACTCACCCTGGAAACCACCCCCGAATAGATGAAAATTACGTAAAATTATGTGCAATGATCGTTTCTGAAAATTTTTTTCTCACAATATCATCAGAACGAACAGAGAAAACATACCTACCCTGTTTCAGAATTTGTATCTCAAAACTCACCCTGAAAAACCACACCCCGAATAGATGGAAATTACGTGAAATTAAGTGAAATAATCGTTTCTGGAAATTTCTGTCTGACAATATATTCAAAACGAAGAGACAAAACATACCTACCCTGTTTCAGAATTTGTATCTCAAATCTCACCCTGGAAACCACCCCCGAATCCATACATAAAAATATTTTACTGAATAAAAATAAAATTGGATACCAATTAGTGACACTATATTGCTCGAAGATTGTGCAAATCAGTTCCAAAACATGAGTTTATTTCAATGGAAGGGGTGGTTGCACCTGTTGGCAAGTGTAGGGAGGAGCTTCATACGTCCAATAATTTCCAGAAACGATTATTTTACATAATTTTCATCTATTCGGGGATGGTTTCCTGGGTGAGTTTTGAGATACAAATTCTGAAACAAGGTAGGCATGTTTTCTCTCTTCGTTTTGAATATATTGTCAGAAAGAAATTTTCAGAAACGATTATTTCACATAATTTTACTTAATTTCCATCTGTTCGGGGGTGGTTTCCAGGGTGAGTTTTGAGATACAAATTCTGAAACAGAATAGGTATATCTTCTCTCTTCGGTTTGAATATAATGTCAGAAAGAAATTTTCAGAAACGATTATTTCACATAATTTTACGTAATTTCCATCTATTCGGGGGTGGTTTCCAGGGTGAGTTTTGAGATACAAATTCTGAAACAGGGTAGGTATGTTTTCTCTGTTTGTTCTGATGATATTGTGAGAAAAAAATTTTCAGAAACGATTATTTCACATAATTTTACGTAATTTCCATCTATTCGGGGGTGTTTTCTAGGGTGAGTTTTGAGATACAAATTCTGAAACAAGGTAGGCATGTTTTCTCTCTCCGTTTTGAATATATTGTCAGAAAGAAATTTTCAGAAACGATTATTTCACATAATTTTTCGCAACTTTCATCTATTCGGGGGTGGTTTCCAGGGTGAGTTTTGAGATACAAATTCTGAAACAGGGTAGGTATGTTTTCTCTGATCGTTCTGATGATATTGTGTGAAAAAAATTTTCAGAAACGATCATTGCACGTAATTTTAACGTAATTTTCATCTATTCGGGGTGGTTTCCAGGGTGAGTTTTGAGATACAAATTCTGAAACAGGGTAGGTATGTTTTTTCTCTTCGTTTTGAATATATTGTCAGAAAGAAATTCTCAGAAACGATTATTTCACATAATTTTTCGTAACTTTCATCTATTCGGGGTAGGTTTCCAGGGTGAGTTTTGAGATACAAATTCTGAAACAAGGTAGGCATGATTTTTCTCTTCGTTTTGAATATATTGTCAGAAAGAAATTTTCAGAAACGATTATTTCACATAATTTTACTTAATTTCCATCTGTTCGGGGGTGGTTTCCAGGGTGAGTTTTGAGATACAAATTCTGAAACAGAATAGGTATATCTTCTCTCTTCGGTTTGAATATAATGTCAGAAAGAAATTTTCAGAAACGATTATTTCACATAATTTTACGTAATTTCCATCTATTCGGGGGTGGTTTCCAGGGTGAGTTTTGAGATACAAATTCTGAAACAGGGTAGGTATGTTTTCTCTGTTTGTTCTGATGATATTGTGAGAAAAAAATTTTCAGAAACGATTATTTCACATAATTTTACGTAATTTCCATCTATTCGGGGGTGTTTTCTAGGGTGAGTTTTGAGATACAAATTCTGAAACAAGGTAGGCATGTTTTCTCTCTCCGTTTTGAATATATTGTCAGAAAGAAATTTTCAGAAAACGATTATTTCACATAATTTTTCGCAACTTTCATCTAT